CGAGAGGCCTCTGCGTCTCCTCTTCGGTTCCCTCTGTCCGCCGGGGAGGCTCGCTCTGCCCGCGGGGCTTCTTCCCACCCCCGGGTCCCAGCTGCAAGCGGCGTCCTCCCTGCAGCGCCCCGGGCCCCCTGCAATTCCCATCAGCGCGCTGTAGGGGGAGCACTATATGGTTCCCAGCGGTAGCAGCGCCAGAGGAGAGAAAGGGGGAGATGGTAACTTTTACTTTAGACATTTCAGTTTGAGTTGTTACAATGAGTGGGTATTTGTTTCATAAATCAAATACGTGAATTCACCAGTTTATAAATGAAGTTTTAAAACTCGAAACCGGAGAAATACAGCGAAGGAGAAATGCAGTGTGTGGGGAGCAGCCTGTGCTGCTGCAGGCGGCCCGCGGTTGGGGTTTCCTGCCGGTGTGCGGCGGAGGGGCTGGTTTCCCTCAACCCACACTTAGCATTTACTGAAAGTTTCGGAGATGTTTGTGCAATTGTCTGCTCCTCCCCATGCATCAGTTCTGTGTTTCTCTCGCTTCCCACATCATAGGGACCAGATAAATATCTGTGGTCTCAATGACTGTGCACAGGACAGAATGGCTTTCCAGTTTGTGAAGTGAGCCTAGCGGGTTGGGGGGGAAGCCTGGGGAGTTGAGATAAAACAGGCGGCTTGTAGCATTTTTTTTTCCTTTCAGGTTCTGCAGCGCCTCCTATAGGACATCCTTCCAAGTGTGGTCTGGCCTGCGGACTTGCTCTTTCCGGGTCCAGCCCTGCTGTCAGGGGACTGCGAACCACCTTTGAGAGACTGCCCGTGGCCTGTGGAACCCAGTCATCGCGTCCTCTACTCATTCCCTCCGTGCTGTCAACTGTTTGCATTTACCTTGCAACGTTTGTAAACCAACCGTAGGTAATTCCAATGAAAAGGTGCAGCCTGATGAACTCTAGAGTCGAGAATAAACAAGCCTCCAGGATGGGGTGGGCGAGATGAGTGAAGGTCATCAAAAGGGAAACTGACAGCTGTGAAATAAACAAGTCTGGGGATGTAACTGTGGTGACTATAGTTAATAATACTGTATTGTGTGTTCCAAAGTTGCTAAGAGAGGATATCTTAAAACTATCATCAAAGAAAAAACATGTAACTGTGGTGATGGATGTTAACTAGATTTATTACAGTGATCATTTCTTAATATATACAATATTGAATCATTATGTTGCAATCCTGAAGCTAATATAATTGTTTCTCAATAAAAGTAGAAAAGATTACAATGTTTCGCACCATTAAAGTTGTTAATCCCAATACACAGACACGCACAAAAATCAGTATCACACGAAGAGGTGACCAAAAAAATATAGGACAAAAAATAAACAAACCAATCCATGGCCACCTGCCCTATTTTCCTGGTCTTTACCCGCTTTCCTGGGGGGCAGGTAGGGGAGGTAAATGTACAAAGGTCAGAAAAACAGTTCTCCCTGGCCGCTCGGAGTGCAGTCTCAAGCCAATAGTCGAATAGTGAATGGGCTTTCAAGTTCTGGTATCGTTTTAAACCAGTGAACATTTTTCTTTCTCTTTAAGAAAAAAGGTTGTGGCTCATGGGATAATACATATGCCACCTGGGGGCGGGGCGGGGGGGCGGGGGCGGGAGACCTGCCCCTGATCCGGCTCCATCTGAGCTGGCTTAGACCACCTTGAGCCAGGAGGTTCGTGCAGATGGCTGGGAGAGCGTGTGTGGAGGGAAGGGGCGTTACTGGCACCTGGCCAAAAGTCTTTGAATTTTTCTGCTTCCCTCCTGACCTCTCAAAAGATATACTCACTTCAACCCACATTCATTGAGCAGCTATTTTGCTTGGTTGGAGATTTAACAAAAGGATGAATAACTGAAACTGTTTCAGGGATTTCTTAGCAATTCGGCCTTGGGGACTACTAGACAAACATTAAGAGCACATGGTCAATAATTAATATTTAGCTCAGGTAAAATCTCCCTTTTGAACGGGGAGATTAAAATCCAATTTGTCCTTGTGTGGGTCGAAAATGAAGGCGAAATCAAAATCGCCAGAAGTAACAATATTCTGGGATCAGGACCCTGCCCTGCCCGTGGCAGCCAGGGGAAGAAACCCGGACAGGAGGTCAGTGAAAACATTCAGAGAAACCCCACGTCCCACCTTGTGTGGGCTTTTCCTTCAAACGGCTTCGATCTAATTTTTAAAAATACTCCTGTAAATTAAAAAAAAATCAATTAGGAGGAAGAAGCAGAGCTTTCATTTAAACTAGCATTTCTTAAAAAAAAAGAGAGAGAGAGAGAGAGAAAAACACAAAGTAGCATTTCTTTTTCAATTATATTCTATAATTATAGCGCATGGGTTTTTTTAGGAGAAATGAGTTACTAGGGTAGCCAGCCTAAAGGGCCCAAAGGGGTTCCATGGTGTAATGGTTAGCACTCTGGACTCTGAATCCAGCGATCCGAGTTCAAATCTCGGTGGAACCTTAACTTTTCAAAACAGCTCAGTAGCCCTGACCAGTTTGGCTCAGTGGATGGATCATCCGCCTGCGGGCTGAAAGGTCTCCGGTCCCCTACTGGTGTATGTTTCTCTCATCCATGCTTCTAACTCTCCGTTCCTCTCTGTAAAATATATGCTTTTTAAAAAGTTAAAAACACGCAGTAGTCAGGAAGGCGGACTGCTCCAGCGCGCGGTCTGCAGGCTGGGGACCCTCCTGCCCGTCCCAGCCCAGCACTCCCAATCCGCGGTTAAGGAGCCGCCAAAAGGAAAAGGAAAGCGACAGACTACGTTGAGGGCCAGTCGTGCGGGTCAGTGGTCAGGCTCGGAAAGAAACGGCAGAGCAGGACGGAGAACAAACCAGAGGTGGGAGAGGGACTGACTGCGGACACGTCGGCCCTCCCACGCCCCCCACCAATGGCCCCCCGCGGCCAACCCAACGCTCGGCGTCTTCCCGGCTGGGCAAGACCACCCTGGCAACGAGTGTGCACTATAAGCCACTGCCGCTTTCAGCCGGAGCTTTATCCACGCAAGTCTGAAACTTTGAGTGGATGCGGCAGGCTTCCGGAGTCCCGGCCCAAGCCCCACGGGGAAGCACGCAGCAGGAAAGCATGGCGCTTGCAGGGAAGGCGCCCAGCCGGCCCCAGCCTCCCAGGACTCCAAACATGTCACAAATGAAAGAAGTGGAAGCAAGCAACCTTCTGGACACAGAGTTCAAAACTATGGTTATAAAGTTACTAAAGGATCTTAATGAGAGCTTCAAGGGACTTAGTGAGAATGTGAAATACATGAAAAAGGACCAGAAATTAGGTATACACTAACTGGAATAAAGAATAATATACAGGAATTCAACAGTAGGGCAGAGGAGTTTCAGAATCAAATCAATAATTTGGAATATGAGGAAGCAAAAAACACCCAATCAGAAGAGCAAAAAGAAAAAAGATTCCAAAAATATGAAGATAGTGTAAGGAGCCTCTGGGACAACTTCAAGCCTACCAACATTTACATTATGGGGGTGCCAGAAGAAGAGGGAGAGCAAGATATTGAAAACCTATTTGAAGAAATAATGACAGAAAACTTCCCCTACCTGGTGAAAGAAATAGCCTTACAAGTCCAGGAAGCACAGAGAACCCCAAACAAGAGGAACCCGAAGAGGACCACACCAAGACACATCATAATTAAAATGCCAAGGGCAAAAAG